CCCCCCCCTTCCCCACGACCACCACCAGGAGAAAGAAGAGGGCACCTGAACACCAGCTAAGTGAACTGTAAGTCCCTTTTCGTTCTTCCTTATACTGCTGACCTCTGCAATGTGCGTTACATTGCTGACTTCTGCAATGTGCGTTACTTTGCTGACCTCTGCAATATGCGTTACTTTGCTGTCCTCTGCAATGTGCGTTACTTTGCTGACCTCTGCAATGTGCGTTACAGCGCATGACCTCTGCAATGTGCGTTACAGCGCATGACCTCTGCAATGTGTGTTACAGCGCTGACCTCTGCAATGTGCGCTACAGCGCTGACCTCTGCAATGTGCGTTACAGCGCTGACCTTTGTAATGTGCGTTACAGCGCTGACCTTTGCAATGTGCGTTACATTGCTGACCTCTGTACAGTGCGTTATATTATTGACCACTGTACTCTGCGTCACACCGCTGGCCTCTGAACTCGGCATTACACCACTGAACTCAGCACTCTATGTTGTTACTGATCTCTGTACTTTGCGTCACATGGCTGACCTGGCGGAGTTAAAGCCGGGGCAGGGTAGGGGGTTAGGTGGAGCAACTGGTGGCAAGTAACTCTTAAAGGAGAACTATGGGGTCAGTGTTTTTCCCCATAGTTCTCACCTCCCGATCTACTGAGCCGACCTGTGACAGTCTCATTGTCACAGGTTGGCTAGAACTATGAGGTGAGTGAAAAGCACTCACCTCATAGTTCTCCTTTAAGGCCTGGCTAGTAGCTCAGCCCAGGCTTAGTATACATATGTATATTTATATGATTAAGTCTTTTAAAGTCACACTTTGTTGTATTTTAATCAAGGTTTTTTTTATATGGGTCAGCAAGTGTTATATATGTATACATATATATATTTCAACGTTATATCATCTCAAGCGTGTTGATCAGGCACCCCAGAGAGAACAAACGCACGTTCCTTTCATATACTGCGTTCAAGACAAATGTATCCACGCAAGCCAATAAATCCATGCATTGCACGGGGGGGCCCCAGCCGGCGTCCATACATTCACCAAGAACACACTGCTCCGCTGCGCATAAGAAATCTCCTCCAATGGATTAATCCCCCAGCGTCTATTTACCGAGACACTGAGAGACTAATGACAAAACATTACAATACACTAAAAACACATCCTAATAAAATTTCCACAACAGATCGCAACAATTTTACACCATTAATATTCTTATAGTACAGGGTATGTCATTGCATGCCTTTTTACCATTTTTTAAAATTAGTTTGTGAAGGGTTAATGGTGGGGGTGGATGCAATCCATCCCACACCTGGAGTGAGATGTGCTTTTGGGGTATAAGTTTCATCTTGTATTAGAGACTTCACCTCCTATGAGGAAGCCACATTGGTGAAACGCTTGAGGAGATTAAATTTTTTGGTGTGGGGAGCTTGCTGTGATGTACACTTGATTTTGCATAAATAAACGCAGGATTTTTCAGTAGTGCACTGTCGAGTGCGGTCATTTTTTGGTTCCTAATCATGCCTGGTGAGCACACACTTCGTAACCTGCACCCGCCGGGGGAAATACGACGGGGGCAGGGCTGCGGAAATTGGAGCGGTGAGGAGTCTTGGAATAATTAAAATGCAAGAAAAACATGCATTTTGCGTGTTGGTATATTGCTGTGTAATGCATTCTTAAAAGCACACCAACACACCTTGCCAACGGACATGCATTGCAGTGCACCATGACACCAGTTAATGCCCTACCATGCATTATACAGGATTTATATAGTGCCAAATGTTTGCGCAGCACTTTGTGGTGAGCTGCGGAACAAAACAAACATTGCAGCAACTTTTTGGTTCATTAGGCAGCCCTTTCAAATGAATGGGCTGACTTAACAGTGCATGTCATCACATGTGCATTAATGCATTGCAACTGTGTGAATCATTATACCAAGAATGGTATCTTAGACGAGAGAGTTACAAACAATTTTAGGAATTCTGGTAAGGAAGCAGATTACAAATTGTTTTGATCTTTGTACTTAAATTTTGCTTTGTTTATTAATGTTATTGGTTGGTGTTTTTTTTTCTTTTTTCAGGTTTTTAGTCAGTTTCAGAATCTACTAAATACATGTGATATCTCAATACATCTAGTAGAAGTGAGTCCAAAATTAAGTGAAATCCAAGCACTTAATTTAACAGGAAAGAGCACTATGGCAAAACATGAAGATAAACCAAGTTATAAAACTGGAATAACAAAGACAGGTCTTCCAATTAACTGGTACTATAACATAGAAGATGTACCCTCAGGTATTTGATATTAACGTTTTTGTTTTAAAGCATTAATAGAAAACAAATGCAATTTCTAGTAATGTACAGAACCAGGACTGTAACCCCCTATCCGCAACAGGTACACAGGTGAAGTAAACACTGTGATTCTGCACTCATTTACAATGGAATAAGAAGTGTTTATATTAGGTGCTATCCCAAAGGAACTTACAATCTTATGTTTTACACAGTTGTACAAGTGTTCACCGAAAGTGACAAAATCTTCAACGCTTCTGGATTCAGTAGCTTTTGGAGAGAGGAGAGCAAGTGTGATGATCTCCCTCCGGCCAAGCCAGACACCTGCCATTACATAGTTATAAAAAAGAAGTTTTCCCCAAAGAGGGGATCCCACCATTCCTTACACAATCTACGTGACAACTAAGTGATGAAAAAATATGAATGTATTTATTCGGTAAGAGATAAAATCTATATATTTAGACTCTACGTACAAAGAATATCAAAAAATATATTAAATCAGACAAACAGATAAATGTGTATACAGAACAGACAGATAAATATATATACATAAATTGATGACTGCATACCGCCTATGAACAAGTAAGTGAATGAGTGGGTTAATGAAAAAAATTCTTTGTCAATTAGGAGACATGCCGTTTGGAAAGCCAGGTGTGTTTATATATTTAGAAGACAAAAAGCTATCCATGAAGTAAATTCCAATATGTGCGGGATTTCCCGATAATTGCCCTAGTTTGAAACTGAAGGGCACAGATGGTATCGGAATTGTAGCCACAGAGGAAGCGTATAATATGGACACAGCACCCACGGGGACCTTGGAAATGGGATAACACAGTCAATGTGAATGTATAGAAAAATTATTTTTTTAAATATATATTCAATGTCAGAAATGTGGTCTGAGATCCTGTTCTTCAACATTCTCTTAGTTTTGCCTATATAGAACATATCACAGGTGCATCTTAGAAGGTATATAACCCCTTTAGTTTCGCAATTGGCCAAATGTTTGCATTTCACTCTCTGCCCATTTGGGGTGATGGTTTCAGATCCCGTTTCGATAAATACACAGAACTTACATTTTTGACATTGGTAAGTACCTGGGTATTTACAGCAGTGACGTTTTTTATTTTGAGCAAACTCACTAGAGACTAATTTGTCTTTCAAGGAGGGGCATTTTTTGTAGATTATAGTTGGTTTAGTTTGAATAAATTTAGAAATCCTCGAGTCCTTCGTCAGACAATGCCAGTGCTTCGTTAATATATCTTTAATTACTTGATGTTGGTTGTTATACGTAAATATTAGTCTGAGTGTATCATTGAATGTAGTGTTCTTTTTCTTTTTCTATTTTCTTTTTGTTTTTATGAATCCAGGTAGGTCTATAATTGACCTTGGTTTTATCATAAGCCCTTTGTAGAATTTTGTCTGAGTAGCCCGTCTGTTGTAACCTATATCTTAGATTTTTAGCCTCAAATTCAAAATCTTTATCTAGGGTACAATTCCGTCTTATTCTTAAATACTGTCCATATGGGATACTATTTTTTAAGGATTGTGGGTGAGCACTGCTGGCTTCTAATATGGAGTTCCAAGCAGTCTTCTTTCTATATAGTTTAGTGTACAGAGTATTAGTTTTGCTTTTGCAGATGGAAATATCTAAAAACGGTAACTCAAATTCATCCATAGTCATGGTGAATCTTAGATTGAGATCGTTGAAGTTAAGAACTTCCACGAAGTCCTCCAAAAGGGTTTTCCCTCCGGTCCAGAGAATCAGGATATCGTCTATGTACCTGTGCCAGGAAAGAACATGGCACAGGTACATGGACAAGTCGTCTCTGGACCAGATATTGTCTTCCCATGCCCCCAGGTACAGGTTGGCATAAGAGGGAGCACAACGTGTTCCCATAGCCGTGCCCTGTACCTGGAGGTAAAGGTGGCTGTTGAACGAGAACGTGTTATGGGTCAAGATAAACTCTAAGAGTCGGACTATAAATATGTTATGATCGAGTTCAAACGTTCCTAGAGAGGCTAGAACTTTTTCTATAACTTTGATCCCTTTACTGTGGGGTATGGAGGAATAGAGGGCTTCACCGTCTAAGCCGACTAATAATGTTTCAGCTGGAACCTCCAGATCTTTAATCTGGGATATTAGATGGGGGGTGTCTCTTACATAGGATGTAAGAGATTCTACATGTGGACGTAAAAAGTGGTCTACATAGATGCTAGCGTTTTCTGTCAAGGCTCCACAGCTGGAAATTATTGGGCGACCTGGTGGGTGAGTTGTATTTTTATGGACTTTAGGAAGGGCATAAATTACTGGGATTCTTGGATGTTGTATTTTTAGAAAATTACCAGTATTTTTGTCTATAATATTCTTTTCTAGTGCTTCATCAATTATATGGAACAATTGTTGCTGGTGATTTTGTAAAGTATTTCCTTTGATGGATTGATACCAGTGTCGATTGTTTAAGATTTTCATCACCATCTCCACATAATCTGCACTGGTCATAATCACCACATTTCCACCCTTGTCAGCTGGTTTTAAGATAATATCTTTAATTTTGCTGCAAGGTTTCTAAGGCACTTCTTTGATCATGCGTTAAATTGTCGTTAGTAATTTTTTGAGAAACATTTTTTGAAATATCTTCAGTAACTCTGCATACAAAGTTCCAGATATTTATATTCTGAGGAGCCGTAGATGGTCCGGATTTGTCTGTGTCCTCATCGTCATCTGAAATGTGCCATTCGACATCATTAAAGATGTTAATTTATTTGCTAGAAAGCTATTGCAATCTGTGCAGATTATGTGGAGATGGTGATGAAAATCTTAAACAATCGACACTGGTATCAATCCATCAAAGGAAATACTTTACAAAATCACCAGCAACAATTGTTCCATATAATTGATGAAGCACTAGAAAGGAATATTATAGACAAAAATACTGATAATTTTCTAAAAATACAACATCCAAGAATCCCAGCAATATATGCCCTACTCCAAAGAGAATCCCCCCAAATCTGCCCTCACTCTATGTACTAAGGAGCAAAAAAGCAGCAAGCAAAAAAGGACTTACGGTTAGGGGCTCCCCCGATGTCTGTGCGGCCCTCTCCTTGGACAGATCCTGGCTCGAAGAGGTGTCCCGGGGGTGTGAGAGGCTGGTCCAGTCTGGGTGTGCATCCGTATGGCCGCCCACATACTCGGCTGTGCTGAACTGCCTATAATAAGGGGGTAACTAAGTAGGAAAAACAAAAAGAGGAAGTCTAAAGCGCTACTATCCGTGTAAGTAGGGGCTGTTCAGGCCTGGGGGGCTTTGATGGTGGAGGTTAGTGTGTCCTCCAATACTCCGTTTGGTGTTTAAAGGCGAGAGGGAGAGAGAGATAACAGATGAGGCAAGAATTGCAGGTGACAGGCAAACAAGAGAGTGTAGTAACTCACCATGGGGTTTGCATGCGTGTGCAATCAGCGACGTCGGGGTATCAGCGTTGAGGAGTAGATTATGATTATTCCTTCCGAATCCCCCGTGTAAATGCCGTGTGTGTGCCGGCTGCACAGGCAACTGCAGGGGTGGTGGTATCGCGGGTACTGGAGTAGATATTGTGCATATACCTTCCCTTCCCCGTTTTATCGTTAACCATTACATAGTTACATAGTATTTGGGGTTGAATAAAGACCATCAAGTCCAACCCATATAGGCCCACGCATCATCTCATTCTTAGGAATACTTGGCAGTGAGTTCCAGACCCTAACCGCTCTTACTGTGAAGAACCCCCTTCGCCCCTTGTGCTGGAATTTTTTTTTCCACCAATTTTAGGTGGTGGCATCTAGTTTTTGTAATGGAGTTAATCTTAAAGAGTTTGTTGCCAATGTTGCTGCCACCATTGAACATCTTGTACATGAAAATCATACCCCCCCCTTAATCTCCTTACTTCCAACGTGAACATGTTTAAATTCAGTAGCCTTGTCTCATAGCTCTGGTCCTCCAATCCCCTAATTAGTTTGGTTGCTCTCCGCTGGACTCTCTCCAGCTCAAGGACATCTTTTTTTAGTACTGGTGACCAGAACTGGACCGCGTACTCCAGATGAGGCCGAACCAATGATCTATAAAGTGGCACAATTATAGGACTTGTCTCTGCCATACATTCTTAATACAGGACAATATACCTTGTTAATACAGGACAAGACCCTACTAGCTTTGTTTACAGCAGCCTGGCACTGCAAGCTACCATGCTGGTCCTGAGCCCACATGAGGGACAGTAGAGCCCAGGATAGCTTGCACTTGTGGGGAGTGTTTGTGGGTTAGAGGGGTTTTTGTGGGGAAACTCTTTTCAGCATCATATGTGATCAGGAGTGCTGCAGCCCACCCGATCGGTATGTGAAATCCAGGTGCCAACTGAAAAAAGCTATACCAAAATTACAGTTGCTGCAGTAGCCATGATCTTGATTTTAACCACTTTAGGACTGTGATGTTTATAAAAGGAAATGTGTTCCTGAAGTGGTTCAAGTGTATGTTAAAGTGACATTAAACCCTCAGATTTTTTAACATAAAACAATACTGTAATATGTGCCTTACTGTAATCCATGGTAGTTTCCCTTCTCTTTGCTGCTCTTCCTTTTTAAATATGTATCTGTTCTCATGCTGGGCAGAACTTCTGTTTTGCAGCAGACTGCCTTGTCTCTGAAATGGATACATGGTGTCTGTGTGTAGGTTTGCAACCTGAGCCAGCACTACAGGAAGAGGCACTCAGCTGCAAAGGGAAGTTCTCCCCTAGCATGAGAAGACATGAGGAGTTAAAAGGAAGAACAGCAAAGAGAAGGGAAAAAAACATGGGTTACAGTAAGGCACACATTACGGTATTGCTTTATGTTAAAAAATCTGAGGGTTTAATGTCACTTAAAGTTAAAAACTTTTTTTCAATTTTTGGGCAGATTAAGAAAGAATTAGAACTTCTGTTGGGTTCTTACTGCTAACTGGTGCTTTGTTAGAAATATTTACCCTAACTTTCAGTCCCACTGA